AAACGCTCGTGACTGCTGGATCGAACGACCGGATGTTACAAGAAGGTGGAGTTTCGCGATGCCTCAACATGGGCGACGAGGCTTGCGCATCGAAAGGGCATAGTGGGCAAGCATCTCGATGGAAGATGCAGCGACGGAGAGAAATGACTAGGGACGGTGTGCGAGCGGAGGCGGAGGCGGAAAACGCGTCGAAGGTCTGTTGCGCCCTGCTACTCTCCGGGACCTGCTAGGTTCTGAACCCTGAAGTGTCGCCGGGCGCATTGTATTTTCCATACCCGCAGTGTCCATTTCCAACGGTGAATCCTCTATTGTATTCACCGGCTCTATAGATGGCCACGTTGTCACCCACATCGCACGTTCCTGTTGATTCGCCATAGTAGTAGCATGAACCTCCTATATAATACCACAGGCCGCAGTTCCTTGACGAGATGCAAGAGATGCAGCATTCCTTGGGCGTGGGACGATCATTTCCTCCTAGCAAAAACTTGGCTTCCACAAAGTCAACGTAGAGTCCATCGACGCTGCTGACGTAATTTCTGGGCATCTCGCAAGCTTCGTAAGCCGTGAACTGCGGACGTTGTTCCGTCTCCGTCTTGGTCGCAGCTGCAAGCGTCTCGGTAGTCGTTGCCGTCGTGGTGAGGGATCGAGTGCTTGTAGTGGTGGTAGTGACGGTGGTCGTAGCAGCAGCTGGCTGCACCGTCGACGTCGACGTAACACTCTGCAGCGTAGTCGTCGTCGCAATAGGTGTGGGTGCGGATCTAGTCACAGTCTTTTTCCCAGCAACAGTGTACGTCGTCACTGCGACCTTTTCCACGGCCTTTTTGCACGCCACCTTGGTGGGATAGGTTTTTTTGCCGTTGCACAGATTCACAAGCTTGCCGTCTTTATCCTTCGCTACGCTATACACGTCTGCTTTTGAGCGAGCCAGCAGCTGGTTTTGCGCCTCGATTCGACTGGTGCCGGAGGAGGACCTCGCTTTGTTTGCGCTGCCCGCTTCACGCTCGACCGAGTCTCGTCGAGCTACGGTGCGTCCCTGTAAGCTGGGATCATCCCGAACGGGTGTGAACCCCGCTGGCGCCGCAACAGTAGTGGTAGTGTATACCGTCGTAGTAGTGGTCACCTCGGGTAGCTGCGTCTGCGTTGTGGATGTAGTGGTTATGGTAGTCGTAGTGGTGACAGTGTTCGTCTGCGTAGCACTGTAGGGAAGCAATAGTTGTGGTGAGTGAGTAAGCTCATGAGGACCACCTGTTCCGATCTTCCCAGCACGACTCACGTATCGGTCTTGTCGACTGCAGTTGTCAACACCGTGAAGGTGGTGGTGGAGGTGGCGGTCTGGCATGCAAAGAGGTATGGTCAGCCTTGCGCTTTCTGACACGGTACCATCACAGGCACACACTTTAGTGGAAGTAGCTGGCGTCACCGTGATCGTAGGCTTGACTTTCTCAAAGATTGGAAAGCCCACCGTCACGCTGTACTTGGTAGCCGTTGACCTTGGCACAGGCTTGACGCTCTTCTTACCGTACTCTGTGTAGCATGCTTGTTGCGAGTAGGTGTACGTGTTGACTGACTGGCCGCCAATGCTGCGAGGAGCGAGCGCTTGAGATTCCAGTCGTGCATCTACGAGCTGGGGCAAGCCAAGTATGCCCAAGACCGCGAGCTGTGCAAGGTGCTGGAAATGCATTGCGATATGTTTGTAGGAATCACGATTCGGGTGACAGGGTAACACTGCGAGCGTGCGGTGAAGATGGTGAAGGGCACCCGACGAGCAGCAAAGTGGTCGGATGTTCCCACAGTGAGCCTTTTTATGGCCGCACCGACTGGGCCGTCATCCCCCAAAGCAACTTCAGATCCGGCGCAGAGAAGCTGCCTGGCAGAGTCAAGCTGCATTGCGACGCTCAGACTTGCCAACAGAGCGGTGCACCAGAATTGATGGCCAAAACGTCGCTGCAGGGCGTGGATGGCGGACGATTGGCGGTCTGTAGGGCTCTCTCGAGCGGACTTTGTTTGGACTTTGCACGCCATGGCGCCTGCTTGCATGTATCGCTATGCACTGGCGGTCATTCGGTGCATCGGGATCGCCATGGGTGTCCCGTCTATTGGTTAGCTAATACCAGAGTCGGTGCCCGTTGTCAGAGATCCAGTCTGCTACTCGCGCCTCGCGCTCCCGCTCCCTCGGCGTGCTGAACGTCGCGCTTGATAGAACTTTCCCTGGCCAATCGTGAATCTTGATTTGTGAAAAGCCACACGCAAGCCCGCGGCGGGCCAACTGCTCTCCATCCCGCTCCACCATGCATGCAGGGCGGAGTTTGGTTGCCCCGCAGCGAAACCACTTTGAGGATTAGCACTTGAACGATTTATCCGGTTTTAGCAGCCCATCCGAGGTCAAGGCTTGCCCTTACTAGCGCTTCCATTCGAAATCTTGTGCCTGCGATCGTGACAAGATTACAGTAGAGCGCACGAGGCCGCAATCCATGAGGCTGGCTGCGACATGTCGATGGCAGCCACCAAGGTCTAGGTTCTGTAAGTGCATAATGCCGTCAGACTCGCAGGCGCGCGTGCCAGTGTGAGTCTGGATTCCAGACTCCTGCTGCACGTCGGTCCCGCGTGGCTTGCCACCTCATTATTCTGCCCCTGAGACTCCTGCGCGAGGCCGCTCGTGCCTTGCATCTTCTCTGCAGAAGTCGCTTTTTCAAAAGGGCCATCCAGATGCACAGATGGGATTCGTGAACACACTTCCACGAGACGTCCCGTCACACCGACCTATCCCAAGTGCGCTCACGGCCGGGCCGAGCACAGTCCCGATGGCTCCCGAGAGGCTTTCGATCAGGTATGTCTAGTCGCTTCGAGCCGGGGAGATGAGTCCTACGCGGGGCAGTCTTAGGTAGATGTCTTCGTCTCTTCGTGTACGCATCTGCAGCGCGTCACCTCGCGGCAGCCGGATAGGCCTGCTTGGACTCATGGACAGTGTTCAGAGTGTCACCAATGCATTTCTACTGCGCAATCTCTCTCGAGGTCCAAGCCCGACGCTCGCCCACTACAACGAGCAATCGGTAATGAGGACCGCTTCGTCTAATCGCACAGACACGGCATGGGGCGGTGAATGCGCTCTCCGAGACGCTCCTCCCCTTGAGCGCGGTGCCAATGACGCACAATCATTGCACTATTTCTCGGACAGGACAGATTTCGCGTTGCACGGTTGCATTGCTAGAGAGCAAACTTTGCAAGAGCCGGATTACATTGGACCGAAAGGATTGCGAGAATGTTTTGAGATGGGGTGTTTTGAGGTATCAAGGAGGCAAACAAAGGGATCTGACTACAGCAAAGAATAGAAGAGCGGTTCGGCTTTTGAAATCAAGGCAAATCTTGGTGATAGCCGCAGAGAGGAGGCGAGATCGAAAGGTAAAGCGAAGCGAGAAAGTTGCCAATCGATACGATAGGACCGTGGGGTTTCGAGAAGGCGAAGAGAACAGCGAGCACATGCTTATTCTCATGTCTAGAACTGACCGCCATAGTCTGCGTATCCACACGGCCCACTTCCAACCGCGTATCCTACAGAATCAGATTGGGTTCCGTAGTACGACGCTCCCTTTTCGTTTGCCGAGCATCTCCCACCTGTGTTAATCGTGTTGCAGAACCCGCCCTCGATAGCATAAGCAAAGGTTAGGCATGTCGCACTCGACGCGCATTGAAGGCAACATGCTTCAGCGCTGCTCCCGGATGTGGTGATTATGGTGGCGCTATTGTCGTCAGTATCGACCAGATATATACCTAGGCCATCCACTCTTTGAATGACGTTGTTGGCTTGGCAAGCGCTATTGACTGTGACTCGCGGCGCCTGAGCAGTCTCGGTCCTGGTGGTCGCGGGCAACGTCTCGGTTGTGGTGGTAGACGTGGAGCTTGTCTGGGTGTTGGTGGTGGTGACGGTTACTGTGGTGGTAGCATCGCTGGGCTGAATAGTTGTGGTAGATGTGACTGTTGTGGTGACCTGACTCGTCGAAGTAGGAGTGGGTGCTGCTCGCGTCACGGTGCGCTTGCCTGCGACGGTGTATGTCGTGACCGCCACCTTCTCTATCGCTTTCTTGCACTTGACAGACTGAGGGTAGCATTTCTTCTTATTGTTGTACTGAAGGGCGTTTTTGGCGCCCTTCTGGCGCGTGCCACGTGCGGCGAGTTCCTGAAGCGAGTCTGCGCGGCTGGAGCCAGGCAGCGATCTAGGTATGCGGGGCCTGGCCGCTTCCAGCTGCTCTAAACCGCGACGCGCGTACGTATGGCCCTGGAGGCCAGGTGCACTTGCAGCAGGCGTGAAGTTGGGAAGAACGAGGGTAGTCGTCGGAGTAACGGTCGTCGTGATCGTAACTTCGGGTAGCTGTGTCTGGGTCGTCAAGGTCTGTGTCACCGTCGTAGTTGTCGTAACCGTGTCGGTTTCAGTTGCGCTGCATGAACGTAAGAGACAGTGTGAGCTTAGCCGCGAATCGCCAAGGACACCTGCTGTGATATGATGACTCACGTATCAGTATTTGCGGGATTGTTGACAGTTGAAGTCGACGTGATGGTAGACGTTGTAGTCTACGCCAAAGAGATGTATGGTTGAGAAAGAGCTCGCTCACATGCGTCGACAAATGCGCAGACTCACCGTGGTAGTTGCTGCAGGTGTTACGGTGATGGTCGGCTGCGCGTACTCAAAGACCGGGAACCCAACCGTCACGCTAAGCTTTGTTGTCGTAGCCGTAGGCACTGGCCTGACGGCCTTGGAGCCGATCAGCGTCGTACAGGCCCGTTGAGTGAAAGTGTAGGTCTTAGAAGATCTATCGCCAATTGCGCGCTCGGCTAATGCCTCCTGTTCAGGGAGGGCGTGGACATTCTCGGACAGGGCCAGGGTGGTAAGAGCCACTAGGATGGCGAGATGCGCCTGCCGAATGATCTGGGTTGCAAGCATGGCGAAGGCGGCGAGCTAAAGATTGGGATTTCCAGGCCAGAGTTCGAGGATGGTACAAAATTGCAGAGCAAGCGCAGAAGGGAGTTGCGGTGATGCCTTCTGACGAGAGCTTTATACCCTTTGCGCATTGTCGCATTTCCGGGAGAAGGCATGTCACCACAACCTCCTCAAGACTTTCCGACATGTTGCGTCGAGTATCAAACGAAGGCAGAACAGAGAGAGCGTCGAAGTCGACTTTGCTAGTCGAGAACACATTGGCGATCTCGAAGCACGTTCTCGTACTACTTGCACGGAGGGCGAGACCAACGACCACGCACGAGGCAGCTCAAGCTGCGGGGCAAAATCTGCAAGGTGCTTCCCGCGGCGCCAAATCTTGAGGACGGGATCGGAATCGCGTGTGGCTTGCGCTCCAGATCATGTTTCACTCACCCATGGAACGACTATGCAACGAAGGATATTCGCGAGACCTGAAGGGGCGAGTAGCACGGCCACAGTCACCTCAGCTCTCGCTCTTGACACCCAGATCACAATCGTGAATGTGGAAGATTTGCCTTGGGTTACTTATTAGGATGGATTGGATTGGATTGGATTGGATTGGATTAGATTAGATTGATGCGCCTGCGCGCTGCGTTCCTGCATCATCCTTTTTGCCGAGTTGCGTTGGAAGGAAGGACCTCATCTAGGTCTCGCTTAGAACAGATCGAGAAGAGGTGCACGAACTAGCGATTTCAGCTTGCCTTTTCGCTTTGCCTTCCTTTTCCACTCCTAGTCTGTTGCCAAGCGATCTTCTGCGAATGCTGAAGACCTGAATGCGAACAACCTGAAGTCCAAGTCAGGGCAGCAGCCAGGAGAGGAGCAGGCGATGGCAGTCTTGAACCCAGAACAGGAGAAGATGGCGCACTCACGACTGATTGATCAGCAAAAGCCACGCGCGTGCGGCCCAAATCAAGAAGCGCTCGCTAAGCTCATGCATGATGCATACTTACAGCAGCAGAAGAGTCGTGAGTCGCGGGTCCTCTCCTGCTGAGTCGAGTGGCAAGTCGTGAGTGATGGTGTGCCTGTGTTGCTTTCATGCAGCCAGCCAGGGTCCCAATCGTGAGTCTCGAGCTGACTGTGAGTCACGAGTTTGATCGCCAGCATATAGGCGAGCGGCGATGGCGTTTCAAGCCACAAATCATGAATCTACGATCAGAAATGGTTCCGCATCCTCCTCAATCAGCGAACGGCACACGGCGCCTTGCTCATGCGCATCGGGCAACCAAGCACCGACGACCGACAGTCACAGTACGTTAACAAGTAAGCGAAAGAAAGAAAGTCACGTTAGCGGACTTTTCGCCCCTTGCTGAGAGCGGGGATGCGCGCGGACTTGAGTGAGACCCTGACACGAGCTGCTACAGAGCAGCAGGGTTCAGCTTGCTTTGCTGAACTCGTGATCAACCGCGCACGGTGCACAATCCGCTTGTTGGGTCAAGAGATCAAGAGCAGTCACGAGTTGGCGGTCTGCTGAGAGACAGCAAGGCGTCTGGCAGTGCGAGCAATACCCAGCACGCTGCTGGTCGCAACATCCGCGCACCGGTCAGATCCATTCGGGGCGTCGCTCATTCCCTCCGCTGCGCAGGACTACATTGAGGGGTCTGCCAGGCTGCCTGGCAGACCACACTGGAGGCAGCATGATCAGTAGCGAATCTGGGTCCTGGTTGGCGACGCCGCGGCAGTCTAGCAGACCGCTCTCAAAATCATCAACGACTCAAGACTCTTACTCGACGCCCAACACATTTTAGACGCGAGACGTCACGTGAATAAAGGAGTGGATGTAATGCCATTACAACAGCAATTCAAAAGACGTAGCGGAGGTAGCGCTGCCAGGAGGGCCCTGAGTGACGGATCACGACCAGCGTGAATGTCAATTCTGCTCCTATGGATCTGAAATCGTTGATTGTGGGTGTACAACGCCATGCACAGCAATCAGGAGGTCCCATCAGCGACCAGAAACGATCACAAGCTTCTCGCAGTTCGTCGAGCTCGTCTACTTGCCCTTGCCTCCCTTGCCTCCCTTCCCTCCACGACCAAACCCAAATCCCCCATGACCAAATCCAAACGGACTGCTCGTCTTGGTCGCTTTGGGGATCGGAGGAGCGCTCTTGGAGGCCAAGGGATTCAGTGCAGATCTAGTTGCCACCGCTGAAGGCGACGGAGCATGCGAGAACGCGCTCATCACAGGCAGACCACCTGATGCATGTGCAGACTTTGACGTAGGCAAAAAGCTTGGTAGCTTGGAGCTAATCGTCGGCGTATGCTGCGAGGCAGTTGGCAGTGGCGATGACTTGAGAGGACGGGTCGTAGGTGTCGGGGCGTGTGAAGAGCTCAGAAGCGGGGCGTGCGAGGCCGTCGCGGTGGGAGACGGTGAGTGCAATTTGCTTGACGTCGAGCTCGAAATGGTCACTGCGCCGCCCAGCGACGAAGTAGGCTCTTCCTCGCAAGCCTCATCACCATCGGACACAGGGTCGACGACTGCCGTCGAATGCTGCGTCTTTCCAGATTCGATAGCACGGCGGTCAACGAACGAGCCGAGCAGGCGTTTCCACGCAGAAGGGTCACTGAGCTTGAAGCCTCTGACTTTGAGCTTCTTCTTTGGGGGTGGACAAGCTGCACGAGTCGGGGTAGGGAGAGGCGTGGTGGTCGTGGTGCCGGTCGACGTCGCGGACGTAGATGTGGTACTGGTCGAGGTTGTGGTTGCCGATGTCGATGTCGATGTCATTGTAGCCGCTGCGCTTGAAGCCGCGTTTCTCGCCCGCGCCCGATCAGCTGCGACGCGTTTTTGAAAGGATTGAAGGTCGAATTTACCTGGCAGGATAGCATCGACAGCGTCGAAGATCTCCTTTGTCACCTTTGGAATGTCGCCACTTCCTTTTTCGATGTACGTTGCGATGCCGAGCCTGACCTGGAGTGGCAATTCGGAACGCGAGCAAGGCGAATCAGCGCCCTTTCCTCTGCTCGTACGGCTGGATCTGACAAAAGCTTGCGCATGCATTCCACCGCGCAGATGACCTTCGTCTCTGATGCTTACCTCTCGTGTGAATGAATCTGAGTCCAGAGTGTTACCGCCGATCAGCTGGCCCTTGCCGCCGTTGACCTTTGTCGGGATGTTGTATAGGTTGCTAGGATCGTTCAGGGCTTTCATCAAGTTTTGAAACTCTATGGGCCGCGTGCGAACTCGCGACTTAGAAGCGAACTTGAAAGCTGGACGAGCGCAGAAATCATCCATGTGGGGCCGCAAAAGTGCAATCACCTGCTGTATCTCGACATTGTGCTGCAGCGAAGACCGTCATAGGTATGGTCAGAAAGCGCGTGCCACACGAGGAATGTACGGCACTCACATCGCACTGTGTGACCAATTTCTCTGGCCCTTTCTTAGACGTCTTGACAAGAACATCGTTCTTAAACTCCCATCGCACGGCTATCGCTTGATTGTCTTTGAAGAGCGTCTGGCTACGAACGTTTTCGCCACAAATGAAGCCGCTGCCGTCATCGCCACGGGGTAGCAAATTTCCACTCGAGTCAGCTATGACAAGATTTGCGGCTGTTGGAATCGGTGCACTTTTGACTATCGTGCAGGCCACAGAGAGGAGAACAGCTGCGAGTGACCAAGCTTTCATCTGATCCGATGTCTTTGACAGGTCTGAAGAATCTGTGCGTACTGAGTTTTCGCCTGATCTGCTTTTGGATGTGGGAAAGCTTTGACTGAGGCACGACCTGCGCAGATGTTGTGTCGAGAAGCAAGAGGGGAGTGAAGAATGTGGTTTGAGTGAAAAGTGACTGTCGGCCAGCGACAGTCGTCGATTTTGAAAGAGAAGATGGACAACGGCAGGTGTTTGGAGGAGGTGCACAGTGCTTTGACTTGATTTATATATAGGCTCTCAAAGCGGCTTGGTCTTGAATGCCATCGTCAACTGTTGCACGCCTCGAAAGAGCGCTAACCCAAGCACCGACTGGTATTCTGCCCTCTTTCATTTGTATACAGAGCTCGAAACCACTGCTCGAGCCTGTGACCGTCGTAAATGCTTAGCGCATGCTAAAGCGTGCTGGCTGCTTCGACTTCTGTCGATGTCAGATGATGAAGCTGAGCGGAAGGGGCGTCAGGGCATCCAACTCACTACTGCCATTCGCCCCTCTCACGCTAGCGAGGCGCGTCTGTCATGCACTCATCAGTGTGTGCTTGCTGAGCAAAAGGTAAGTTGCTGGGCACCTGGTCATCTTCGCCTATTGCGGCCGGTCAAAGACAGCGTTGCAATTCCCCCAATGGCGTCAAGGCCTTCATCACGCCGGGCCACTTTGTGACTTGCGCTGCAAAGGTGGTAGCACCCTAGTAGTAGCAGTAGCGAAGTGATCGTGAATCGGACCTCGAGGTCCACCCTTGGGCGCAGCTGGATGTGGCTGCAAGCGCGCATGCAGACCGCGAGGTGCTCGGCGAGGACCCGCTGCCGCACATTCATGACCACATGTTGCGTGCATGCATGGGAATGAAGGAATCGTGAATGATCACGGATGTGATGGTGCGAGGGCGTTGTGAAAGGCTGGGGTAGCTGCGCACAGGCAACGTGTGGACTTTAACTGTATAATCGACATTCTCGTCGTGAGTCTGATGAGTTCCGATCGTGAGTCGAAAGTGACGAGTCGAACGTCAAGAAGTCCGCTTGAGTGTGAGGAGGCACCACAGATCCACATTCACGTGATTCTGATAGGTGACTTGATGAGTCGTGGATGATGTCTGGGTCTCAACTTAGACCCGTGAGTCAAAAATCAGCGTATGTCTGCAAGCTACGGATGCCTCCTGGGCACTGAAAGGCATTGGAATTTGTTCCGACATGCCTCCGATCAGACTCGCACTCAGTAGTAATTCAGAAGGGTCATTATCGAGGGCATCGAGTTGGGCGATGATGCTCTCAATCACGGTTTCGCTCGAATCTCTGACATGGAGCCGTGGTGCTGCTGCCAGCTAATGCGAGTAGCCACTCGGCTGCTGGGACGGCGCATTCGGCCCTACGACCGTTGTCGTATCCGCTTGCCGTGTGTGCACGTTAGAAAGTGAGTGAGACTGAGTGCATCAAATACCACGAGGTCGCAAAGAGCGCGCGATGAGGTGCAGCTTGCGTGCAGTCACAATCGTGCAAGTGACTCGTGAGTCGTGACTATCACGAATCGCATTCACGATTGCGGACAACGGGCGTGCAGCAAGCAAGGGTCCTGACACGGCATGAGATGCACGGACTCCAACGTCTGCTGCTGCACTGACTGGTGACTGCTCCAGCAGCAGGGCGGCGGGACCACCATCTTTGATCGGTTGAGCCGCACGCACGCACGCACGCACGCACGCACGCAGGCAACGCACGCACGCACGCACGCACGCACGCACGCAAAGCAGCTACGCTAAATTCACGCATAGCGCCGGCGTGCTGCAGATGGCGGTAGCGTACGCACGTAGCACGATGCTCACCATGGCCGCACAACGCGTATGATGACTTGATGTTTCACGATGTCCAGAAGGACTCGCAGCTCGTGACTTCTTCCTCTTGACTACGAGTAGCACGTACCGCCACACTACTCGCGATCAAGTCTAGCTTGGCGAAGGTCAGACTATTGCAAAGAGTCTCTCGACTCAAAATCCATCTTACCTCACTTCAGCGCGGTTTTCTCGTTTGGTAGCCAAGTGCGGCCCTCTGGTGCCAGATACGCCAGCCGTTCAGCGCGAGCGCAATGCTGCAGCGCTTGCCACCAGAGCTTATCGAGTGAGTCGAGGGCGCATACTTGGGAGCAAACGTTGCCACCTCTTGCTTATGAAGCCTCAGTACAATCTTTCCAGGCTCATCATTTGCCAGGTCATGGAGGGCAAAGAAGCAAACTTGTTCTGTGCCTATTGGCACCCGAGAAGTTTGGAGGATAGCACGGTCCTATTTCTTTCTCAGACATGTCGCGCCACTCGCCCCATCGCCCTGAAAAGCCTTTGGCGTGAGGTCTACTGCAATTTGGTCTCGAAAGTCCACGCGCTTCGTCGCTTGCTACATGATCAGCAACGGCTTGACCTGGCATCGTACATGCTGGATGTGCAAATAGCTTGGGAATTCCAGACGATGGATATTGAAGAAAACTATCCTCACAAGTTGGGCTGGGGAGTGGACTACAGCTTCATCGATCGCGAAAAGGTGCGTGCCGCGGATTGAGTTTAATGCGCCCCACATTGACCTTTCAGCTTTCTCAGATTCGCAGTGAGGAGCGCTCGAAGCGAGGCATAGTCGAGCCGCCGGATGGAACCGCGTGGTCCGACGCGCCCACCGCACCAGATCTTGAAGGGCGCGTTGATAATAGAGACCAAGCAATTGATTGGAAGTACAGCTGGTCCGAAGACTACGCGTGGGGCAGCGGGCCCGATATGCCTGCTGATCAGCGGGAGCTTACGGACGCGTGGACGAACGTTGAGCAAATGCCTGCAGGGTATGGAAGAGCCTCTCTGGAAGCAGACTTGCTTCTCATTTTGAGCCTCATGTCGCACATCAAGGTCTTCTCCTGGGGCGGGGACCACTGGCGACTCCCTGAAAAATCGTCTAAATGTCTGGGCAAGAAGCGCTTCCTACATCGCCTGGAAACAGACTTCGATTACACGGGCTTTGGTGAGTCCAGCCTGTCTGTCTGCCTTTGACTTGTTCTGCACATCGTTGCCGCTTTGGGAGCTGACCGGAAGTTTGAACCCGGCCTCGCAGAACCGTACTTATCTGACTTGTGGCACGCCGCATCCGCTCCCAATCTTAAAGCGCTCGCGCTACACAATCACAGCAGCGTGCGATACGACATCCATCGCGATCAATCATGGTTAAGGCGTACAAATCGTCAAACGCAAAGCTACGATGCGCATGCTCTTGACGTGGGAGCATTCGGAGCGTGCATGTCGAACAGTCTTCCCGTGAATCCGATATTCCCTCTAGATATCAATAAGTTGCCGAGAGGCTGGGCTCTCGGTGATCACGAAGAGGAAGGGTATGCTCCACACCTGCAAGGTCGGACGAAGACGATCTTGACAAGCGTCGCGGTTGGTAGCATCTGCAGCTTGGAGCTTAGCGACGCGCAGCTGTTTGGTTTGCGACTGATGTTGCCAGTATGGCTTGCTCTGGACGTCATTGCCAAGGTCGCGCCTAGCCTAGCGTCATTGCACGATCTGGTGGTCGAGCCATGCTGCATCAGGCTTAGGACTCTTCGCGTAGATCTATGGCCTTGCTTAGATTTACTGGATCAAGCGGGAATCAAGCAAGAGAAAGTGGACCAGGCGAACATAGGGGCAGAAAAGAGGATGGACGTCCAAGAAGCTGCGCTCAGGGCTGCTGCCACCTGGGTGAAGCAGGAATGTGCCAAGACGAACGTGCCGGATGTTCAGTTCCTTATTCCTGATTATGACTACAGAATCCGATCTGATGCGAGCGAGGCTGAACGGCGTCAGGTCATCGAGACGGAAGAGAATCGGCAAAAGCTTGCCATAGCAGAAGACAATCCGCAATCCGAATACAGAGAGCGAATCCCACCCTTCAGAAAATGGCTTGCTGAGGACGAAGAGCTTGCTGCCAACGTTGTGCGAGGCCTGGTGTACTGGCGGGACCATCACAATTGTTCACCTGCTGAGATCAACGTGTGACGCGCACGCGCGGATGCGTGCATACATATGCATGTACACACACACACACTAGACCTTGATTCATTACTATCATCATCGAGCATCATACAGCACCACCTCCCAAAGAGTCCCGTCTGAAAACCTCGTTGCGCTCCCAGGAAAGCTGGCTTGTCACCTGCCGTTAGATCTTTGGCCGCTTAATGGGTCGCTGAACACCTGGCTCTGGAGCAGGAGGAGGCCGCTTAGTGGGTCCCTCCACACCTGGCTTCGGAGCAGCAGGGGCAGGTGCACCAGGCGGAGGTGCATCAGGGGCAGGTGCATCAGGGACAAGTGGAGCAGGGGGCTTCAGGTTCGTCGGGTTGGTAGACGTCGTAGAAGGGCCGGGCGACGGTGACGTGCTATCCTTTGCTGCTGGCGATGGGGACGTCGGTGCCATGGCATTGGCGAGCTGCCGAGCTTTGGCTTGAGCACTCGCGCGATCACTTGTGACGAGGGTCTCCAGCTCTTGTTTGCTGTATGTTCCAGGGGCGATGGCGTCTATGGCGTCGAAAATCTTGGTGATCGCGCTCGGTACCGTCCCGCCGCCCGTTTGTAGATATCGCTCAATCCCCAACAGGACCTGCGAAGCAAACTGGCTCAGTGAGCTTTTTCCGAAAACGACGTCTTTCTAGGCGGCAGCCGCGATGCTCAAGGTAGAAGTCAGACTCACGGTCTTGGAAAACTTGTCCGACGAGAGGGTGCCGCCGCCGATCAAAGAGCCTTTGCCTTTATTGACGTAGATAGGCACGTGGAACATGTTCTCCGGTGCGTTGAGAGCACCGAAAAAATCGTTCCACTCTGTTGGACGATCTTTGGGCTGCACTGTTTTGCGACCAGGAGCGGTTTCGGGTTTCGCAAAGGCTGGCCGCTTGCAAAATTCATCCATGTGTGGCTGCAGAAATTTTACGACTTCTTGAATTTCCACATTGTGCTACCAGATGAGCGATGAGAAGATCTGTGTCAGGAATATTTTCCCAGGGTATGCACAGCCAGACTCACGTCAAACTCTGTCGTTCCAGACACGGGGCCTTTACCACTTTGCTGGAGAACATCATTCTTGAAAAGCCATAATCCCGCCCCTGCTTTGTTCGTGGTGAAGGTACCGTGGCTGCGGACGTTCTGGCCACAAATGAGGGCGTCACCACCGCGACGGGTAAGCGGGCTGGACCTGTCGCTCCCAGGATTGATCTTAGGGATAGGAGCGCTTGACACTTGGGGGGCACTGAGCAGGGTGACTGCGACTGCAATGAGAAGATGAAAAGCTAAAGCAGCGGTCGTGATACGGCGAGCGACGCGCGCCATGACCATCAGTGAAGCCATTGTGATTGGGCAGTAGCCAAGGAACGTGGGTTGGTCCAGCAGCCAGCGCTAGACAAGAGAAGATGAGAGGGGAGGGGAACCTACGTCTGGCGTAGAGTGCCAGCGCAACCGACCGGCGATTGCAGCACAGAATAGGAGAGGGCAGTGTTGAGGCGACATTCATCGTAAGCGAGCGAATGATCCCTTTTTAAGGTGGCAAGGTCATCGAAGATGTTCGCATGTGCAAAGCAGTCCGACCAAGGGCCAGGCTTTCCGACGACCAAGCGGCATGACCGCATGATAGGCATCACGGCTGCTACTTCCTTGCATCCAATCGATGGAGGGCCGCGCGTGGCATCAGCCGCGTCGTCTTGATACCAGAGCAGCGCAGCAATTCACTTCCAGAGAGCTCTACGCAATGCATTCTTGACTGTCATGCCACAAGGCCTTTCCAGCCACCGCCGACAAAGCCGCGCGATGCCCGCCCTACCGCTTGTACGCGGTGTCTCGATCACGGCGCGGCTCACGGCATTGACTTGAGCAACGGCGTTTGAGCCATAAAGCATGAAGGGTCAGCGCGGTAATAGCGTCGTCTTCCATGCGGCTTCCCACGTTCTTTGCATCGGGCCATCGGTTGGCAGCAAAAGGCGCAAAATTGGTGACTGGACGATCCCAATTTGACTCTGACTCAACCTGGTGAAACATCAATCTGAATAGAATTAGACTCACACTCGCTCACGGGCGAATTGCGCCGCGGGGGCAGCGTGATCATGCCTGCATGCATGCACGGAGGCGCACCTGCAGCGCCAAGTCTACGCGGGGCGCAGGCGCGCAGATCCGCCAAAACTCCGATTCGCCGCGCGCCGAATCGCGAAACACATGGCGCGACCGATTAGATTAGCTTTTGAAGTGTTCAAAACGATCTGTGACTGACTGCTATTTACGCGCCTTTGGACGATTGCTTCTTACATCTCGCGCACGTTACTTCACAGCTGCATCCACACTTTGACACACAAGGCCAGCACCTGAACCACCGCGAAGAAGCTCTGGATTTGATCACCTATGGACTGTCGGTGCCAGCTCGTTCCCAAAGAGCTTGAATGAAGAGCTTGCACGCCGACCTGAAGTGATACACAGCGTGCGCGTGGACCCTGCGGTGAATTCCAGCCGTGCTTGCACTCTCATGTAGCCTTATAGCTCGCAGCTTTAACAGAGCGTCGAAAACTCGAGGCTTTCTTGTCAAGTTCGCTCAAGCGCCAGCACCGAGACATTCATCTCAGGCCAGCCACACGGAGAGGTTGCTGGGGACTGAGAGCATCAATGTTCGACCGTTTGCCCGAGGAACTCATTGAGTGAGTCATAACGCGAATACCGGCTTACCGATAGCCGCGGCTACTGAGCGGTGCATCTTGTCTCGCTCGGCAGCTCGATAATAACACAAGTACTAACAGAAGCACAGTGGGGCAAGCGCTGCTGGCAATACTATGAGAAAGGTCTGCTGCCACAGAACACCGTCCTTTCTCTCTCTCAGGTCTGTCAGCGCGCGCGACCTGTCGCTCTAAAGTACGTCTGGAACATCCTCGGATGCGACGACGTCTCGTCGCTTCACCATGTGCGTAGACTGCTGCATGACCAAAAGCGGGATGATCTTGCTACGCACGTGCGGGAAGTGTGGATGGACTGGAATTTTAAAACCGCCGATATAGAAGAGTCTCATCCAAGGCGAATGGGATGGGCAGTGGACTACAGCTTCATGGATCGCGAGAAAGTGAGAGCGCGAGACTGTCTTCATCAGCACTGCAGGCGAGCTCATCTTTGCTGATGACATTACATTGCGTCAGATTCGCAGAGAGGCGCGCGCAGCGCGAGGCATCGAAGAGCCGGAACGTGACGAGCTCGAGATGTGGGTAGAGTGCCCCGCCTCGATAGCAGCCGAGGAGCGGAAAAGAACCGGATCGGACGAAGGATTTGATTGGGAGTACATGGACCATCGAACAGACTATCGTTGGGGAAGCGGACCCGACTTTGATCTCGAGAATGATCCAGACGAGGACTGCACGTGGGCGTGGACGAGAATGGAACGGATGCCTGTGGGCTATGATCGAGCAGCACTCGAAGAAGATCTTTTGCTTGTGCTTCGCGCCCTTCCCAATGTCGAGAAGATGGATTGGAACGCAATGACATGGCAGCTTCCCGAGGCATCGGCACTATGCTTAGGCAGATCATCGAGCCTGCGCGTCTTCAAGACGAATTGGGACGCGATGGTGTTTGGTGAGTGGGCACGTCCATCATGCGTGTCGAAATTCTGAATATCGAACCTCAACGCGCCCTTCACACCCTTTGTGCCTCATTCGCAGAGCCATTTGTTTCGGATACGTGGCACGTCACGTCGGCGCCAAATTTGGTGGACTTGTCTTTCAGCAGTTACTATCCCAATGCTGTCGTTCTTCGTGAGCAGTCTTGGCTGCGCAGGTCTGATGAAAGACTGGAAGGAGCTGCTCAGGCACAAGACGAGGTCCAAGCTTTGGGCGCTTCCATGTCAAACAACTTGCCCCCAAATCCGGTGTTCCCGGTCGATGTCAATCTTCTTGACAAAGGATGGGATCTCGACGACCACCGAGAAGAAGCCTGGAAAGCACACTTGCAAGGAAGAGTCAGAAGTCTATTGACTGCAATCACGGTTGGAAGGCTGTCACGACTGGAACTCGACTACGATCACCTCTTTGCTCTGCGCCTCGTGCTTCCTATCTGGCTCGCTCTAGACCTGCGCGCCAAGAGTGAGGAGTACACTCATACCGAGGGATACACCACTACGAAAGCTTGCTGCAACAGACTGCAAAATCTGCGCATGCAGCTGTGGCCGTGCCTCGAGACCTTCGACGAAGTCCTCGCTGCGACAGGAACAGTGCCATCTGCGATCACTTCGCAAGATGCAGCAGACTCTACTACCTTTTCTGCTCTAGAAGCTGCGGCCGCCCGGGTTCAACAGATATGTGTTGAGACGAATGTGCCCGACGTACAAGTCTTCGAGCTCTCGATACCTGGCGATGCCAGTGATGCGGACCGGGAGCAAGCGAAGAAGGAAGAGGAAGAGCGTCAGAAGACCGCAATTCAGCAAGACAACCCGCGTTCGGAGTACACCAATCGGGTGCCGCCGTTCGAGAAGTGGCTTGCTGAAGATCTCGAGCTCGCCACCAATGCTGTCCGAGGTTTACTATACTGGCGAAAGCATCACGATCGATCACCTGAGATCACCCTATTCTCCTGAACGGCGCCGTCAAAAAAGCAGCGCCACCTTTAGTGTTGGCAGTGGTACGGGCATCCAGAATACATGCTCCCAAACTTTCTCTTGATGAAAATTGTCCCCTGCCCTTGTAGCGCGACGATGGGCTACCTGAGCCTTGCAGCTCTTGAGAACATTCATGCAGCGTCTGGCTCCCGCACGAGTCGAAGAGAAGCATCCAGCGAGAAACGAATGCTCGCGTCGCGCTAAGTCTACAGCACATGGGCGGCCAGCTTGTCTTACCTTCACGGACCGTCGGGATGTGTTCGCGCGCTGCGAGGTGTTTGGGTATAGCAGATCATGGCATTCATTAAATGTGTTGTAGACAATGCAGCAGGTTTGAAGCCGAAGCGAGATGGTGGATAGAACGAGCAATGTTTTGTTGGCAACCTTCTCCAACTACACTTTCAGGTCGCGCGACATGGTGAGACGTGCGCAGGCAAAGAGGATGGCGCAGGCGGTGATCATGGCGGCGATGAAGAATTGCGCGGCATCAAAGTCACCCCTGTTGTTGCTGATGAGACGCCCAGCGACCGGTTCTGCAGCAAGCACGCCGAGCGCGGCAATGGTGGTATTGACGCCGACGTACTGGCCAATGACACGTGGGCTGGAAGCGATGCGCGCAACGCACGGCGCCAAAAGACTGACGACTGCGCCAGCCCAAAAGCCGTAGAATGCGCCCCAGACAAAGTTGCCAGCGTTGTTGGTTGCTGCGGGCCAGGTCCACGCGATGAGAGCAGTGATGGCCGTGCTGATGGTGATGGTGTTGAAAGTGCCGAGCTTGTCAGAGCCGAGACCGACGAGCAGACGACCAAAGAACGAGGTAGCGTTGAGAACCGAGGAGAGGTAGAATGAGGTGGAAAGCGAGGCTCCTCGGTGAACACCGTAGGCGGAGATGAAGATGTAGGGCGAATAAAGACCAAAGAAGCCGACCAGCTCAGCAAAGGTGAAGGTGTTGAAGCGCAGACTGGTGAACATTTCCTTGAGGGGAGGCGGACCGTTGATCATCTTGCGCGGGAAGCGAGTCTTGATGAGCATGGTGGCGGTGAGAAGCAAGGCGAGCTGGATGAAGGCGCAGGCTCGCAGCGTCCAGCCGAAGCTGACGCCATCAAAATTAAGCATGCGGTTCAGCATCACTGGCCAGAGTGCACCACCGAATGAAGTTCCGCCCACCACCAGGCCGCCGACGAGACCTCTCTTTTTCAGGAACCACTGATTGGGCACACTGAGTGCAGGATTGAACACCAAGCCATAGCCAAAGGCGGAGCACAAGCCCTGCGAGAGGAAGAATTGATAGTACTGCTGATCCTGGCAAGCCGAAGTGGTCATGGTGCCGAGCACGATGAGCGCAGTGCCGAGGAGCATGGGGACCTGGAACAAGCGAGCAGACGAAACGTCAGCGGCATTTCATGGGCGCACCTGCTGGCTGTTGCCGCGCGCGCACTCACCTTTGGGCCGTAGCGGTCAAGGAGGATACCGGCGGGCAAGCCGAAACCAAAGTTGCCCCACAGCTGGATGGAACCGATCCAAGCAATGGCAGCCTCACTTCGTCCTTGCAGCTGATTCTGCGCGTAGTATGCTTGGAATACAGCGTAGGAGGAGATGAAACCGAGACCAGCAAAGAAGGTGAGGAAGCCACCCAAGACGGTCAACCAAGCGTCCAAGCCTCCATCCGGAAAGGTTGGACCAGCGGGTGCAGCAGACGCCGGTGCAGGGTTGAGAGGAGCGGCAGTCGGCGGAGGAGAAGGAGTGGTGACGGCTCGATCAGGACTGACGGGGTCGCTGTAATCCCCCTTGAGCGCTGTCGCATCGCTAGGACGAGAGTGAGCCTCAGAGTATGCTGGATGCCGCTCTTCCATCTGGTAAGAGCTGTGATCGCCCTGTCGGACCTCGTAAGCCGGCCTCTGGTAGCTCATTGTCCCCGGAGATGGCAGTGTAGGCGTTGATTGTTTGGTGTCGAGGCGCAGATGATGATGTCGAGACGAGCTAAGAGTCGACGTGTCCACTGAGGAGAGGTCGAGGTGTGTGGCCGGATGTGACAACGCTCTTTGTTCGGTGTGGCTCAAGCTACACAAGGGGCGTGCCTGCGCTTATGCGATGGGCATTCGTGAGAGGGTGAGAGCGTCAAGGTGCGGGTACGTTAAGGGCCTCTGAAAGGAGGAAGGTGGTGATGTCAAGCAGCTTGGTTCGGGTCACATTCAGGATTCACCCACGGACTGATTTGGCAAGTCGCCGTGCTTTGCCGTGCTGCAATGCTGATCAGTCACGAGTATCATCAAGATGTGAGGCGAATCACGCAGGTCACGCGCGAGGCGAGTTGCCGCCGGCTTGCATTCGATCGCTCGTGACTGTATACAGTACCATGGCTCTGTCCGTTTTGGTGCATCCACCAACCTCGACGAACCTCTGAACTGTGACTGAATGGGCGCAGCTCTCGACTTCTGAGGGCCGCAGAACAGGAGCCCAGCAATCACCCGGCCCGAGCGGCAAGGCAAAACGACGCCCATCGATGCACGACCAAACAGAAACAGTGAGTTTGAGCACGCTAAGAAGCTCCAAGGACCAAGACAAGCAAGCCCGCATGAAGAATCCGCATCCGCATCCGCATTCGGCCCTGCTGCCGCCCGGAAGACATCTGTGTGCGTGTGCGTGCGCGTGCGCCTCTTCTGATGTGTCGGCCGAATCTCCGTCTGCTGCGAGAAGTGAGTCGCGAAATGCAGCTTCGCGCGTGGTCAGCACGCTCAGCTGCCAGTCAGAGATGAATTCGCGTTTCGCGAGTCGCGAGTGCAGCGGCTGCCTGCATGTTCAGACAGTGGTTGTGAGGCAGACGCAACCTGCATGACCGGCGGGGCCTGCGAGAAGGGCAGTGCGCAAAGTCGCGCATGAAACCAGGCCGGAGAAATCGCGAGTAAAGCAGAAAGCAGCAGCATCATGCGCGCGCATTATAGCAGGACCTCTATTTTTCTTTGAAACTCCGCTACTGCAGCATTTCGTAGGTCGCAGCTCACTCCGCTGTCGGATGCCGGCCGGACGGCGCAGCTGGAGAGGGAAGACATGAAGCGAGAGCCTCGTGCATTTGGTGACCGCACCGTGTGGGCCGGCAAATAAGCCAAGACAACTCGAAAACGAAGCCTGCATAGCGAGAGCAAGCCGGTGGTGCGGAGACGAATGCTCGGGCCATGTTGCCTCGAGATTGGTGAGACCAACGCAAGTGCTACACGAAGCAAGGTCTTCGGGACAAGCACGGACAGTTGTCCAGTCATGAATGACAAATGTATGGCTTATCGGCGCTTGTTTGATGACAGCTATCAGACTCATCACTGAGTGCTTGCCACAAATTAGGGAAGCACACAGTTGAAGCGCCTTGCCCCATGCCAAAATGCTCAGCTGATGCGCCATCGTGCTTGCATGGCCATGTATGCGCTCTTAGCGTGTCTCTTCCTCGCACGAGTGGAGTCGATGCTCAATGCTCTTGTCGTCCAAGCTCTGCTTTTCTGCCTTGCCCCAACTAACGCAATACTCGAGTGACTGGCAGTTCGCCACTCATCAGTTCAACTACCTTGTGAGTGCATCTCGAGTCAATTTGCAGTGGTCTGCTGACGCCTACACGGACACTTGCTCATGCGAACGGAACAGAGACATGAATAGCGTTCCTGAAAAATGTTTCCCTTGTACGCTTCGTTCATGCGGGTTTGGTCCCGCCCTCGAGACGCTAGCTGTGTGCTGTCATACCTCGCGCAAAGTCATCTCCCAGGTCGGAGCGGGATGGACATGGACCTCGGTAGGCGTCTCTCGCGTTCCATCATCCCCATCTTTGCCGGACCGTCTTCGATTGCGACTGTCTGTTTGTGAAGATGTTGATGAAAGGTTTGTCCGGCTTGCTCTTTTTTAGCGCTGCGCCCACGCGGCTCAGTATGAAACGCCAGCTTGCAACCGTTTGCAGCGACTCGAACTTGTTTGCCCCTTGGGCGGACGGTCCAAGACGAAGTTGATGTCGGACTGCATGCAGTCGAAGCGCAGCGGACCTGGGACTTGTGGCACATGAAGCGAGGCCTGCAAGCTGCAATGGCAACTCGGCGCAAGCGCCTTGCCATTCTGCACAGTCACCCAAGAGTCATCAAACTTTGAAAGTCAAACCGAGTTGCAGCGAACTCATCCCAGAGCTGAGGTCCGTCCCGACACAACGAGTCTCGGATGATCTGAGTGCGAGTTCGGCGTCTTGCAAAGTCTTATCCGGCGGGAGTGCCGCCGGGCAAGAGGAGAATGACTGAATTCGTGATTGTCGGCCCCCAGATGACACTGCGCACGCCCTTGTGATGCTGCACCAGCACAATTGCTGCACCTGTCATCATTGTTCGTTCATGCGCATGCAGCTTCACTGATGAGAGCCGGGCGATTTGGCCCCACCTCCCAAGCTTTGCCCTGATCGCCCGATTCGATAGCGTCGGCTTCTGATCCAGGGCAAGTACAGTCGTTGCCTTGCCTGCTTTCCCTTAAAGTAAGCCTTGCTCGCCCCCTGCCTCATTCCCACGTCCCTCCACGCTCGTCATTGCCCGGTTTCTCTACACCCCTCCTGCCATTCACTTGGCAATCTACGGATACCCGCGGCCCATCGCTTGCTCATCATGTCTTTCGAACCATACGTCGATGGAGGCCACTTGATCCTCTCTCCAAGTGGCCACTACATTCCCGCCGATACGCTGCAAAGGGAATATCACGTCGAAGTTTTCCGATATGCCTTGATCGCCATTTACGCCATGTACCTCTGGGAGTGGATCGTGACCTTGCACGAAGAGGTGGCGAGATGGAAGGAATTGCTGAAGGGCCAATTCTTGCCCGTCAACATCTGCTTGCTGGTCTCCCGCTACTCCACCATTGCTGCTCTTGTCGCTTCAGCCGTCGTCTTTTTCGGCGACTCTGTGCCGAACTGCCAAGCTGGTCTGAATCTGGTCTACGTCTTCTTCCAGCCAGGTCAAATCTGCCACGTCATCATCTCAGTGCTCCGAGTCCATGCGTGAGTCAAAAGGCCAGAGTCAGACGCGAGCGCTTCTCGGCATGATTTGCATCCTTGCTCACGAGCGCCTCGCTTTGCTCACCATCGCAGCTTGTCTAACGGATCAAATCAAATTTGGCGCCCGCTTTCCGTGCTCGGCTTCGTCACCTGCGTCATTTGGATTGCCGCCATTCCCTTCTTCAAGGCTGGTCCAGTCGAGCCGGCCATGGCAGTTCACTATCAGCCCGTCTGCCAGCCTCTTCCATCACCCGCGTTCCGTGTGATGGGCTGGGGCGCAGCGGCTGGATTCGACATGATCATGTACGTCGTGTCAACGATGCTCATCTCTTCGCGCCTCCTCAGCGCATTCAGTCCCAAAGCCAAGCGATTCATGCACGATACCACCACTTTCCTGTTCTTGGTCTCCATCACTGCCAACTTGTCTTGCTTCTTCACCATCCTTTTCTACAAGAACCTCATTCTGGCCAACGTGCCTATTCCTATTCAATTCGTGCTCAACTCAGTCGTCGCCACTCGTATCGTCTTGCACACGGATGTTTGGATGGACAGAGGCAAGACTGGTCTGCTCGTCTTGCCCCGCTCTACCGACATCAACCACCGAGGCTTGGGCCCCGCAGGCAAGCCGTACTCGGAGAACGATATTGCGATCGCGTTGGGCGGCGCACGCGCTGCACCCCGCGCGAGTCAAGGATCTGCCGGGTACGTCGAGGGTGGAGGCTTTGAGGCACCGTTCATCGACAGGCCATACGACGGTCACAGGAGGGGCAGCAACAGCAAAGTCGAGGGTGCTTTGCGCTTCTTCAATCGACGCGACGCTTCTCACACTACTTTCCACCACGGTCACCCTCTGACACCGAGGACGGACAGGAGCGCGGAAGATGCTAGCGTGGAGGTGATGAAGACGGACGAAGCGGGCGCACCCTCATTCATCATGGAGACCACGCCCACTTTCGTTCCGGCCGACTCGCCCCCGACACGGCACATTCGTCCCAGTACGGCTACGTCCAGCATCCGTAACTTTGGTGGCGACGAGCGAGAGCGCCAAACTTCTGGACACTCTTCGCAACCCTCACGATCCGGCGCGCAGTCAGTTCCGGCGCGCGACAATGACGGAAGGCTGCGCATCACGACGGAGATTCTCACCACGCGAGAATGATGCGATAAATTATTGCGTTTCGTCCTATCTAATACTGATCCTTTGCAGCGAATGCTCGCTGCTCTTCCCTTCGCTCTGCCTCCCTGTCAAGCGCGATGCACGCTGCTCAAACACCCAACATAATTTTATTCCAGACGTATCACCACGACCCGCGTTGCTGGATCTCTTGTATTCTATCGTGCCTGCTGCCATATCTAACTATGCGTCTGCTGCCTCTTGGAGTGACTCATCTGCTTGCTTGTGCTCAAGTCTGTGAAGGTGAACATACCCGTGCGGCGCTTTGCGTAGCTAGGCTAAGCAGTCGCCGACCGAGTAAGAGTTGATGGAAGAATTTCCGAAGAGGCGATTAGAGATGCGGTGCGATGGATGCGGTTCCCGTGCAAGCAGTAATGAATCTACAAATCGCCTTTGCCACCGATTCTGGGTCGTCGTAGGGCAGATTGTGGCCTCCTTGAAGCACTTCGACCTGCATGCCTCGAAAGCGCTGAGCAAGGCGATGCACAGTCTCTAGTGGTGGTGCATCTTTCGCGGAGCTTGAGGAGGGGCCAAGAAGGGAAAGGAGATTCAGCACACGTCGGAAGGGTCTTGCAGTAGAGTGCCATGGTGCACACGTACTACATCAGTGGCCGCGATCCTGTGATCCAAACAGACGGAATAGGAGGGAAGAAGGCGCCTCGAGGTGCTAGGCTCACGACTGTCTGATGGTCGAGGTATGCAATCTTGGATAGATGATCGAGCCACTTGTAAGGACGTGCACGGCGGGCTGGGAAACCTTCTCCACCAAGAAACTCACTGCTTCCGTGTACGGGCTCGCTTTGAGCATGACAGCCTTCTCAGCCCCTGTTGTCGCCGAAAATGAAGAGGCTGTAACACCGTGCGCCTGCGTGGGTCCGTGATAAGGGCATGAGCTAGGTTGGACTGCAAACTTATCCCGCACTTGCATCCTTCCCAGAAGGCGCGATGCAGTAAGCTGCTCGATTGTGCAGCTAACCCACAAGAAATTTCTGCCTGACGTCAAATCTGTATTGTCCATACACGGGATGCGCCGAGAAATGCTTTTTTGCCTCTTCAACATTGTCCCATCTCCACTCCTTTTTGAGCGCGAACCTGGCCAGTGGCAGCCTTGTCCCAAATGCCTGGGTCGCCGCATCGAGAATGATGGGCTCGATGACTGCTATGCTGCTGAATAATCTCGGCGCATGCATCGCCAATCCCACCATGGTCTCTCCGCCGATCGAGTGGCCAACACCAACGAGGTTCGGGCGCGTAGAGAGGGCAAGAGGAGCATCTTGCGGTGCGTTGTGTACATTGGACAAGAGCTTGATCGCATCAACGTCCGACTTCAAAAGCGTAGGCATATGCTCATTCGCTTCCTTTCGAAGCGAAGGCAGGTACAGAGCAACAAAGGTGAGCACATCCCGCATATAGTCTTTGCCATCGACTGGACAGAGACGTTCGGCGCCGTGTGCAAAGGTCAGCACTGCAGCATCGCTTTCATCAAACAAGCGCGACTTACTGGGCCAAGGTTCGCTGCCATCCACTGCCCTTGAATCGCCGTGACCTGGCATATCGATGCACCAAGCTTCCTCCAACTCGATAGGATGAGGCCCACCTGCGCCCAGCAGCTCTACGACACGCTCGATCATGGGTTCAAACAGCTTTCACATCGCAGGATTGAGAGGTGTGAGTGTGGGAGAGAGCAGCTCCGAAGGCCCCGGGACTACTTGTGCGTTTCCTCGGTCCATCTCGAGGCCAAGCACTCACCTCTTTGTGGAAGCCGGCGCCGTGGGTGAGAAGTAAAGTGATGCGCTGGCCAGAAGAGGTGGATGCGCGGTCCGATGACGATCCGATAGCAGTGCGATTTGGAACAAAGCGCGAGACAGCTATCAAAGGCGGGCAGACAGAAGGACCGGACAACGTATCGCTGACTTTGGCAGCCGTGAATGCGGTGTACCTGCTCGGTCGACGCTCCACCTCGGCTGGGGTCGCAGGAGCGTCTCGAAGCCTGGCGGGTTCAGCTGGTGGCCATGAGCTTTGCAGCTGGGACAGAGACAATGGCAATGACCCATCTCCAAGACGTGAGCGTCGCGATGTGCTACCCGGAAAGTAGTGATTTGTAACGACTCCTGTCGCTAGGCTGCGAGGTGGGGGTGAGGTGGGATATGCCGAGAGGCGAGCTGATGATGTCAGTGTGGACGTGGAGGAGGCTGCTGCGTGTGGGCCCAGCTCTATGGGCTGCAAGAGGGGCTCGAAAGCCAGCTCTTGGATGGGCGAGAGTGCCATGACCGATATCGACGGGTGAAGGTGGTACTCCTTTCAGCATGCGCCGGGAAAGGGTGAGGGCTGGCAGTCACGAGTGTGATCAGGGATGAGAAACTAAGCATCCATGGATCTAGAGTCAGCTTTGGGGGAGTCAGGCGTGTGAAGCACGCCTGTCAATCTCGAGCATGTGCCCGCCGCCCGTCGTGCTCAAGTGGAGGCGGGACAGCCTTAGAGTGCTGAGAGTGAGACATCTTCACAGTGCTGGCACTCAGATCTTCAAATGTTCCCGCCTCTTAGCTTCTTTCGTGCAGGCCCCGTGCGGGGTCTAAAGGAAGCGGGCATATCAAGGCTGGGCGGAGTCCGCCCAGAGCGAGAGGGGACGCGTCACGTGGGGCCAAGTTAGGCGATGCTCTCAAAGTCTCGAATCAGGAGGAGTCATGAGTCAAATCGAAGATTCTCGTCAAAGCTTATTATGGCTCAGCAGCAGGGACAAGCACTGCCCCGCCCCATCAGCGTCAGCGATCCGCCGTTGGACCGCATCATCACGCTTCTTAGCGACAGCCGAAAGGCCCTCGAAGCTGTTCGGAGTCAACTGGCAGGAAGAATGCATGGGCCACCGCGACATCCAAGAGAGTCCGAAATGCGCCAAGGAGGCCTTCAGCGTTGACCTACTCATCAGGAATCGTGAATCGAGCTAAAGAAAGCGCGACTGCTCGAAGTCTTCGTGCAAGGGCAGGCGCAAGTGCATGGTATGGCATGGGAGTTGGCGCAGCATGCGCCCATATGAGCCGAGGCAGGACTCTATGCCAAAATGTTGACTGCAGCTGGACAGTGTGCTGAAAGGTGGTGCGTGAGCGAGGATAATCGCCCCTCGCTGAGCGCAGCGCCTGAATTTGGCTTTGAGAGTCAGTCGACAGCTTTGGTCACCAAGGGCAGAGCGGCCGTCGTGCAGCAGCAGCAGCAGCAGCAGCAGTGAACGAGCGATCGGCGCATCATTGAAGAGGCGGTGATGACGGCGAAAACTCCGACTGGTCGTAGATCGTCAAGAAGCGCGCTGGTACTGCTGCCGACTACGGACTCCGTGTGGAAGATGTGCCCAGACCGCGTTGTTATCGCCGTTGCAGGGGAGGCGAACAGCGCACTCCGAAAATGGCAGGTGACCCTGTCCTCAATCGCAATCGGGGAAAGTTGGGCGCAGGGGTGGAAGCAAGAAGGCGCTCGGGCAGAAACAGGCAGGCAGGCAGGCAGGCAGGCAGGCAGGCAGGCACGCACGCACGATCAAAGCATGAAGAGCTACGGACCATCCGTGGTGACCAGCCCCCGCACGTTCGCTCTCGAAGCATTTTTCTCCGGGATAAATGCCGGCTTACCGTCACCTGGCCGGGTCACTCGACGAGCTTGCTTGCTGCTGGCACACTCTTCAATTATGAATGATCGTGAATGCATAGTGAGGGCTGCCGTGATGGACAGTCTCAGTCACGAGTCAGATACCTCTGCTCCTTCTCTCCAATTTCGATCTTCCCGCATAAGCGTCCGTCCGCAAGCGGTTCCGAATTCTTCGCGGGCGCCTCAAAGCTGGGGTGTGCATGAATGAGAGGTGCGGCTGATGCAAGCAGGCGCTGACCGACGCGGGCGAATGCATCGATCGTGACTTGCGTTGCAGGAGGCACCTTGTCAGTAGTCTATCGTGCACGAATGCGCGCGCCTGGCCAGTGCTGACTGCTACTACTACTACTGGTGGTACAGTACGGGTACTGCAACGGTAATCCACACTCAAGATCTCAGAAACGCGAAAAGCTGCATGGTAGTAGTATAGGGGCCTGCCGCCCGCGCACAGCACGACATGAGTCAGCTGCATTGAACCTGCAATCCTTGCATTCGTGTGTGCTAAGTGAGCCGCCCATGCACATGCATGCGTGTGTGCTACACTCAGACTCGGACTGCACATGAAATGACGAATGGTGAATGAACCAGAGACTCGGCACACGCGTTTCAGCCTTGTTTCTGCTGCTCAAACGACTCTTGACTGGCCCCACACAAGTCGATAGTCACAGTCGTATGGCGGGGATGGCTGACTGATGCATTTCCAAGCATGCAGCATGCATTAGAGACCGTCATCAGGCACACAGCAGCGCCAATCGTGATTCTCCAAAGAGCGGTGCGGTGCGGTGCGGTGCGGTGCGTTGTTGTATGCCAGGAGTGGCCGAGTTAGACATGCCGCTGCTGGTGGGAAAGCACGAATCGAATCACGAATGTTCGGCTCTAATCCCCGCAAAGGCGGGTCAGGTCCGCCGCTCGGGTTTCAGTCAGCGGTCAGCAGTAGTCGGTCGCGATTCTGATTCGCGATTGCAAAGTGCGGACGGATCTTCTGCTCATCTTGATTGACACACCCTCACTCAGCGCTCGCCGCTTTTGCCACCTGACACGACACACCCGCCGCCGCCGCCGCCGCCGCCGCC